TGAGCACATAAATTTCACTGGAAGGGGGGTCAATTATTTGGCGTACAGTCTCATTTTGCCTTATAAAGTCTGTGTTTGTACTGTACAGTGTACTGCTAGCTCTAGCTAATTGAAATTCAGCCCAGTACTTGAAATGAAATGAAATCTGTAAAAATTAGATAAGAAATGATATAAATAAAAGAGTAAATTTTACCTGGTATTCTAGGAGGCAGGGTATTCGCTGTCTGATTAAAATATGGAGTAGATGAGATAATAGGAAATCCTGGTGTTACAGGTCTAAATCAAAAACTTTTAATTTTAAAACAACATTCTTCAAACCATAAACTGTTCATAAAATATTTTGTTAAAATTTAATTTACTAATGAAAGTGACCTGCTACTGCTACTGCTGCCAGGTTGATTGAAATATCCATTCCTGAAAAAAAAATCTTTTTATTTTATCAGCCATAAACACAATTTTGTACTTTAAAAAACTGCCAAAAAAATATCTCAAAGATTTTTTCATTGAAATGAACTTGGAACACGTAATTTTTATTTCTTGCATTATATTTGAGGATAATTGTAGATATGATTTTAATACATTTATCATAGAAATGAATAAAAATAAAATAGCGGAAAAAAGCAATTTGTTTTTTAAAATGAAAAATAAATGCAATTATCTCGAACCTGGAGTTTATCTACTAAATATATTTTTCATTAATATACATGAACATATGTCTATATATATATNATAATAATAATAATAATAATAATAATAATAATAATAATAATAATAATAATAATAATAATAATAATAATAATAATAATAATAATAATAATAATAATAATAATAATAATAATAATAATAATAATAATAATAATAATAATAATAATAATAATAATAATAATAATAATAATAATAATAATAATAATAATAATAATAATAATAATAATAATAATAATAATAATAATAATAATAATAATAATAATAATAATAATAATAATAATAATAATAATAATAATAATAATAATAATAATAATAATAATAATAATAATAATAATAATAATAATAATAATAATAATAATAATAATAATAATAATAATAATAATAATAATAATAATAATAATAATAATAATAATAATAATAATAATAATAATAATAATAATAATAATAATAATAATAATAATAATAATAATAATAATAATAATAATAATAATAATAATAATAATAATAATAATAATAATAATAATAATAATAATAATAATAATAATAATAATAATAATAATAATAATAATAATAATAATAATAATAATAATAATAATAATAATAATAATAATAATAATAATAATTAATATAATAATAATAATAATAATAATAATAATAATAATAATAATAATAATAATAATAATGATAATGATAATAATAATAAACTGTTAACCTGATGAAACTGTTAACCTGATGGTGTTGTATAGGAATTCTTTTTGTTGACACTCGAATATATAGAGGAATTAATGTTTTCATGTTCATCAGTTTGAAAATTTTTCGATACTTTCGAAATATCATGATTATTGAATTTATTCACTGGTTTACTGTTTATTGTTGAATAACTCGAATTATTAAGCGACGCATTGTTCATAGTTAAACTATGAACACTAGAACTATTGAACATGTTCGAGCTGAGTGAGCTATTGTGAGATAAGTTCGAAATGTTTAATGAATTCGAAGATCCAGCTTCGAGTCTTTGAGGAACATGGTAGGTTTGTTTCGAGGGACTTGATTCTCTACAAAATATTTATTTGTTAAGTTAATATTTGATGCCATTTTCAAGTTCAAAGTCAAAATAAAAGTCAAGTTCAAAGTCATGATCAAAGTCAAGATAAAAGTCAAGATAAAAGTCAAGATCAAAGTCAAGATCAAAGTCAAGATCAAAGGCAAGATCAAAGTAAAGATCAAAGGCAAGATAAAAGTCAGGATCAAAGTCAAGATAAAAGTCAAGATAGAAGTCAAGATCAAAGTCAAGATCAAAGGCAAGATAAAAAGTCAAGATCAAAGTCAAGATCGAAGTCAAGATCAAAGGCAAGATAAAAAGTCAGAATCAAAGTCAAGATAAAAGTCAAGATCAAAGTCAAGATAAAAGTCAAGGTCAAAGGCAAGATAAAAGTCAAGATCAGTCAAGATCAAAGTAAAAAAAGTAAAAATCAAAGGCAAGATAAAAGTCAAGATCAAGTCAAGATCAAGTCAAGATCAAGTCAAGATCAATATTGTGAGATAAGTTCGAAATGTTTAACGAATTCAAAGATCCAGCTTCGAGTCTCAGAGGAACATGGTAGGTTTGTTTCGAGGGACTCGATTCTCTACAAAATTTTTATTTGTGAAGTTCATATTTGATGCCATTTTCAGATTCAAAGTCAAAATAAAAGTCAAGATCAAATCAAGATCAAGTCAAGATCAAGTCAAGATCAGGTCAAGATCAAGTCAAGATCAAGTCAAGATCAAGTCAAGATCAAGTCAAGATCAAGTCAAGATCAAGTCAAGGTCAAGTCAAGATGAAAGACTCAAAGACATTTATAGGAAAAAGGGATTAAAAAGATGACCTTGATGTTTCAGACATAAATACTGAGTTTCCATCACTAACATATCCATCAGTAGTCTCTGTATACCCACTTCTAGCTCGGTACAAACTGGTTTTCAATTCCTGCAGTACGCTTACTCATGTACACTTGAACTCGTTGTACATGTCTTTGAATGCATGTTGAACAATTTTAAAACTATTGGAAGAATATCATCCAAATGTAAATTATCATAAATGAAAAAAATTTAAAGTTCAGTAATCTTTGAAAAGTCACATAAAGAAAATAATCTGGATTTATTGAAATGATGCATTGTACAAGAGCTAACATTTTACTAAAAACCTAAAATACATGTATATATGTAAATGTATGTATATTTTTTTAAATTATGTTAAAAAGCGCAATTGTATTTTTAAATAATCCGCAATTGTGCAGCTGAAGAATGTCCAACATGAAACATAGTGTCCACTGTCCAGAAACTATATTAAATAAACAAAACAAAATGTTCTGAACTTATTTTATATATTAGCTATAGCTGGCCAAACGGCTGTACCGAATGGGCTGACACTTTTTTAGAGAATCCTTGAGAACCCCGGGGGTATCAAAAGCTAAACAATAGCTTTTTTCGAATTTTTTTTTCTTTCAAAATTTGATTTTAAAAGATTTCACGGGCAACGCTGAGCACTTGAGCTAGTTACGTATAAATACGCACTAAGTATGTATAAATACAACTGTTTAAAAGAAAAACAAAGTACTTCCTCCCCTCACTACTCCCTATTCTGTTCTATTCTATTCTATTCTATTCTATTCTATACAAGTGTGGAGAATTTACAAATGTGCATTAAGAAAGTAAATAGAATTTGACCTAGATACGACCCAATACATTCTATTCAAGACAGTGCACATTAATGGCATTTTTTCTTTTAAGTTGACCTTCATGATTATTTTGAATTCTATCATAATTTCCTTGAAATTCTACTTGTTAGAGTAAGGTTGCCTGAATGACAGGGTTTGAAGGATGAGCTCCAGGTTGGTTTGTTGAGCTAGAACGGGTTGGGTTTACTCCAGGTTGGTTTGAGAACTGGTGACCAGGCGGAACTAATCTTCTCTCTTGCAACTTCCTAATAAGAAATCAGATAATGTTTAATATCTATATTCCAGGACTGTCGACTGTACCCTCCATTTTACAACAGTAACCTTTAATATTTATCTGTCTATCAACGGGGACGACAATGTTGTTTTTCTAAAAGAGATAAATTCTGTGAATTTCATTCAGTGTCTCTATTCCATAATTCCGCAAGCAACTTTAAAGCAGAAATCACAGTTGACAAAGTTTCAATTTTATTTTGGAAAACAATGATATCTTCATCATCTTAGCACAGGCTAAAGGTTACCATTAACGGTAATCACACTTGTATGGGATTTCATTAGCGCCTGATCCAATCAGGGTTCAGTCATGTGTTTGGTGACTATTTTAAACCAATAGAAATTGCATAGCGGTTACATCTATTTTTCTATCTAGCTCATTATCCAATTAGAGATAAATCCTTATATCGGGGCTAAACAGTAAATAGAAATATTTACTTCTACTAAAACTACAGTGAAAATATGCTATGGAATTCTTTAAAATAAAAGGTTAATTAAAATTACTTTGATCTTCCCTCTGAACATTGTGAACAGTGTTTAACATTTAAACAAGAAATTAAGGATGAAATAATGCTGCGGCGTATCAAACTCAATTTGTGCTAAATCCTGCGAAAAATGATTTACAAAGCAACTCTGCAGCAAAATCTATGAGGTTAGAAGAATTCTATTTAAAAAAAGATTTGATTTTTAAGTGGAAGGAAGGAAAAGGAGGGTCGAAATTGAAAAAATAAAAGATGAAAAGAGAGAGAGGGGGTACATCAAGTTGATCAAATTATTATTTTAATTTTTGTCAGTTTTCAGCTAATTTCATAAAGGTCAAAGGAATTGAGTTTTTGTCACCAACCATGTTGTAAAGCTTAGATTTTTGAACCTATAAATTCTGTTAGATCAAATTATCTAAGTTTAAAATACCATCAGGTTGCATAGATATAGGAATTAGAAAATTTGAGTTTGTGGAAAAGAATCAATTCCTTCGAATACTTCATTTGGATTAAAAAACTAGTATGCTTAAAGCAATCTTTAACATTAAATTAGATTATTGGAATGTTTCTATGAGAATTTTTGAATATGTTTACGTCGCGTAAAATAATGGATTTCTTTATTCTGATCTTGTATTATTGATACCTTGAGAGGATTGTATTATAGTGCTAGAAATGAAGAAAATAGGAAAAATGTCAATATTAGAAATCCATTTTCTCTACCTTTGTTGTTTTTGCAACCATGTTTCTCTATCTTCTTCTGACCTACTCCGTTCATCCCTCAGCCCATCCAACCCATCCTCCAGGTCATCCAACCCTCGTCTCATATTCTCATCCGCCATTCCTTTCATCCCATTCATGTGTATACTAGCGTTCATACTTCGCTCAGTCTTGAATTGAGAGCCACCATTTTGAGACATACCATTTATAATTCCATTTGTCTGACCTAAAAATATAAACATTAGAAGAGCTGCATAATTTTCTCTTTTTTTGTCCAACAATTTTTTTTGGTATTTCGTTTACAATAACACTGAGGCAGAAGCCCAAAAGAGTTACGCAAAGTCGGCGTCGTAGAACAGGCTCTCTCTCTGTAGAATTACAAGATTGAGCCTTGAGGGAGAGCCTGTTCTACGCCGACTACGCGTAATTACTTAGGCCTCTGTAACGAAATACTACTAAATCTTGAAAAGACGACATCTAGTGTCCTATCTGTAATTTTAATTAATCTATGACTGTTCGATTCAATTTCTGCCTTTTTTAACAGAGTGATTTTAATCAATGATCAATCAAGCTCGAGAAACGACAGAAATTATCTCTTTTTAAAATAGAAAAAGAGCACTACTCTTCTCATGGAAGTTCTAAAGGGTACCGTTGTGAATTAGATATGAAACTCTTTAAATGGAAGATCATTTGAAAGGAACTGAGTTTTAGCCACAAATTCTGATTTTCAAATCGCTATATCTTTGCAACCTGATGGTGTTAACCTGTGATATTTCAAACTGATCTAAAATAATTCATAGTTTGAAATATCTAAGGTCTCCGACATTGAAATGCAAAGATATGGGGATAAGAAAATCAGAGTTTGTGACAAAAACTCAATTCCTTAGGTCGACATTTTATTTTTATGACAGTGAACTTGAAATTGCGATTTTTAAATTCTTAACAATTGACAAGTTTAAAACAAACATTTTTAGACTTGGCGTCCATTAACTTGGAAACTCTAGGGAAAACATTAAAATGGTAATCTCATTTTGAATATGTATATAAAGAGTGAATATCGAGATCAGGCTTGTAATAAAGTATTGCTTTCGTAAACTTATTTTCGGCAAACATGTATGATTTTATTTGTTTTGTATGCATCCTGTATTTGTTTCATTATTTTTTCTTTCTAACCTTGAAGTCAGATAAATATAATTTCAGAATAATTGATCAATTTTAAATCTGAGATTATGACTTTTAATCATCGTATTAAATGAGATTAATCATAAGATTAACCGATAATAGAAGATAAACTTTCATATCAGATAACAACATACTCTGAACAAGATTTTTGTTGAAGCTTGTTTAGGTCATCCATAAGAAAATGAGATAGATATAAAGCGTAAATCTAGGGTTGTTAATCTTTTTTTAAACGATCTAAAAAAATGATCGGTTTTCGTTTCGTTTTTTTGTGTTTAAAGGTAAAAAACGATTGGCAAAAGCAAATAAACAATTCGTTTTGATCTTTAAAAAAAAAACGAAAAAGAAACAAGGACACGATCGTTTTCTTGAAAAATGCGATAATTTTGGGAAAATAAATTGCCATATGATTTTTTAACAAAACGACGAAGTAAAACTAAAAAAAACTTTTTCGTTTTTCAATTTTGAAAAACGATCTATTTCCAAAACATTCGTTTTTGAAAACGACCGTTTCGTTTTTTCTATAACAAAACGAAACGATCGTTTTTCAAAAAAGGGAAATGATCCATCTCGACGTATACAGCAGGTTGATATTGCGGGATTTCTCTCACTGGAATAAATTGTGCAAAAAATAAAAATGATTTTTAACATTTTTAATTCACTGTTTCGTTACTTAATTTAGATAGTTTTTGATTTTAACGATAGTTTTTTTTCAGTCAGATATCCCAATTATTTTGATTGTAATTTCGATCGAAATGTTCATTATATCGACATGTTTTCGTTAATTCGATATTAGGAAGAAAATGTTAGGGTTTATTCTAACAGTTTATGAGTTAAAAGTGCTTGTTCAATGTACACCCTGTGTTGCAAAGCATAAACTTAGTTTAACCCTCTGACAGCGTGTTGTTCAGCCCCACCCTTCCTTGTTCCTTCTTATATATTCACTTCAATATTCATCATATCTTCTTCTAGTGTGCAGAAATATAAAACTTTAATACTCCATGGGTAAACAGCTTTCTCATACTTGTGCCGGTTATTGCATTAAATATTGTTTTTTGTTTCATTTTAAATATTAGATTTCGGTATTTAATGAGTTCTTGGGTGTCAATAAAGCAATGGCGGAAAAAGGGGGGGTTATGGGGGTTAATTACCCCCACTAGAATCCTGGGGGGTAATTCCCCCCCCCCCCCACTTGAATCTTGGTGTTGATTACCCCCCCCCCTAGAATGTTGTTGAGCGTAAAGCCGTGACGAATTTTCTTGAAGGAATTAGCTGTTACTTTGTTTTTGTTTTTAAAAAAAGGTTGATTTTAAAATTGAATATCTTTAAAATTTGCACGAAAATAATTTAAATGTGCAAATACTTCAGATATTTCAGATTTTAAGTCAACATATTCTAAATGATTTTAAATTCTAAAGTAATAGTCAATGTAATTATAATTAGATGTTTTTTAATAGAAAAAAGGGTATGGGCATGAAGAATACATTTTTACTTCGAAATAATGTCATTTCCATATTTTATCTATTTAAGATCTTAACATACTACATTGACGACAAGAAAATTTTAGAAATTAGAAATTAAAATATAAACAAAGACAATATTTTTTCAAAGTTTTGCAGAGTAGCTTTTCTAAAGATTTAAAAAAGGAACATCTTTTTCCTCTAAGAGTAAAGCTGTTTTTTATGTTACTTAAAATAAATTTAGGTTTTTTTTACAGATCTTTGTAGTTAATGTAAAATGAATGACTATAATTTTTTTGTTTTAAAAAAAGGTTGATTTTAAAATTGAATATCTTAAAAATTTGCACGAAAATAACTTAAATGTGCAAATACTTCAGATATTTCAGATTTTAAGTCAACATATTCTAAATGATTCTAAATACTAAATGAATAGTCAATGTAATTACAATCAAATGTTTTTTTTTAACAGAAAAAAGGGTATGGACAATGAAGAATACATTTTTACTTCTAAATAATGTCATTTCCATATTATATCTATTTAAGATCTTAACATACTACATCGACAACAAGAAAATTTTAGAAATTAGAAATTAGAATATAAACAAAGACAATATTTTTTCAAATTTTTGCAGAGTAGCTTTTCTAAAGATTTAAAAAAAGGAACGTCTTTTTCCTCTTAGAGTAAAACTATTTTTTTTGTTACTTAAAATAAATTCAGTTTTTTTACAGATCTTTGTAGTTAATGTAAAATGAATGACTATAATGAAGGATATAAAACAAGGTGAAAGCTGAAAGTTAGGAAATGAAGACTTTATGTGATGGAGTTTGTAAATGCCAGAAATAAGTGGAAAATGCAAATTAAACCCAACTAAAACCAATTATTTGATAAACAAAATATTTTTCGGGGGGGGGGGGGGAAAAAAAAAAAAAATTCCCCCCCCCCTTCAGAATTCTTATTTACGCCCCTGCAATAAAGTCTCGCATCTATTGTGGTAATCCTAAATCTTGTTCTTTAGATCAAGGATTCTGAAGTTTTATTTTTATAACTGAAGATTGAAATAATAATTTTAATTCTGACGTACATAGGGTTGCCTTGACACAAATATCCTATAGAAGCCTTGTACAATGTGTAATATACAATGTATATTAAGTAGGCTGGTAGCTGTAGGCTTGTTGTATCCCATCTACAGGAGGTTGGGAGGGGGGAGGGGGGCTTGGAGTATATTTCCCCCAAAGTTACAATATTCCATAAAATTTAATTTTAAACAATTGAATAAATGAAGATGTAACTTGCCTTGGGACAATTTCCTTTTTGGGCAGAATTAATTAATTCTTAATTCAGCTTTAACAAGTTGTCTAGTTGTCTAATTGTCTAGTTATCTAGTTATCTAGTTGCCAGCATGTCAAGTTGTCTAATTGTCTAGTTATCTAGTTGCCAGCATGTCAAATTGTCTAATTGTCTAGTTATCTAGTTGCCAGCATGTCAAATTGTCTTATTGTCTAGTTATCTAGTTGCCAGCATGTCAAGTTGTCTAGTTGTCTAATTGTCTAGTTATCTAGTTCCCGGCATGTCAAGTTGTCTAGATGTCTAATTGTCTAGTTATCTAGTTGCCAGCATGTCAAGTTGTCTAGTTGTCTAGTTATCTAGTTGCCAGCATGTCAAATTGTCTTATTGTCTAGTTATCTGGTTGCCAGCATGTCAAGTTGTCTAGTTGTCTAATTGTCTAGTTATCTAGTTCCCGGCATGTCAAGTTGTCTAGTTGTATGATTGTCTAGTTATATAGTTGCCAGCATGTCAAGTTGTCTAGTTGTCTATTTGTCTGGTTATCTAGTTGCCAGCATGTCAGGTTGTCTAGTTGTCTATTGTCTAGTTATCTGGTTGCCAGCATGTCAAGTTGTCTAAATGTCTAATTGTCTAGTTATTTAGTTGCCAGCATGTCAAGTTGTCTAGTCGTCTAATTGTCTGGTTATCTAGTTGCCAGCATGTCAAGTTGTCTAGTTGTCTATATGTCTAGTTATCTAGTTGCCAGCATGTCAAGTTGTCTAGTTGTCTATATGTCTAGTTATCTAGTTGCCAGCATGTCAAGTTGTCTAGTTGTCTAATTGTATAGTTATTTAGTTGCCAGCGTGTCAAGTTGTCTAGTTGTCTAATTGTCTAGTTATCTAATTGCCAGCATGTCAAGTTGTCTAGTTGTCTAATTGTCTAGTTATCTAGTTGCCAGCATGTCAAGTTGTCTAGTTGTGCTCTTGCTTTGTTGCCAGGATGTCTATATCAAATTTTCCAGAACTGGTAATTTTTTAACACTTCAGTTTTCTAATTGTTTATTTAGTAAACGGCCCTTTAAGATAAACTGAAGGGGGTAATGGTAAAAAGTTCTAGAATTCCAAACATCTGTAAGGAGGCGGAAAGCCTGACTTTAAGTTTAAATATCTCCACTTTTTGTAAACTACATCAGATTGATTAGTTTAGCAATTAATCAACCCGAGTTACAAGATATCTGGATACAGGGTGAATAACTGGAAACAGGGTGAATATCTGGATACAGGTGAATGTCTGTTACAGGGTGATTATCTGGAAACATGGTGAATATCTGGATACAGGTGAATGTCTGCATACAGGGTGAATATCTGGATACAGGGTGAATATCTGGAAACAGGGTGAATATGCTATTTCAATGCAAACTAACCAGGAGAAGAATTGACATTATTGGTATGACTTTTGATCTCGTTGCTCCTCTAGTTCTGATTTTACGCACAAGTAGGAGAGAAATAAATTTATAAATTTTAGTGTACTTTAAGTCTCCAGAACAAAAATGTTTTATTAATTTCGAACGTATATTTCTAGACACTCTGTAGACTTGTGTAAGTAAAAAGTGCGAGATTAGGGATAGAAATCTGTGAACACAGGTTTTTATATATTTAGGTGAGAATTGATTCCTGTCATACAAATACCCAGGGTAAGAAATAAAATTAAAGAAAATATGTAATTTTTAACATTAACAATTTTGAAAAGAACTGATTACCCGGTCGCCCTAAATATTTGCAGTCTGATGTTTTAAACCTTTGTATTTATAACTTTGACAATTTGATTAAGCAAAATAAAAAGTTTAAAATAACAAAGGTAGATACGACATCAATATTTCGTATACATGTTGTAAGCATAGGAACAGTTTCAATAAATTTGATGTCCCCCCCCCCCTCTCTAAATCTTGCTTTAGCTGTTGCGTCATCTCTAAACCCTCCTAGGCTTGTTGTAAACATTTAAAATTCTCAAGCTTAATTTTAACCCATGCTCTCTTTCATCGCAATGCTTCTGCTTTTTAAAAGAAAAAATAATCAGTTAAAGTGACGTCAATTAGTTCCTGATATATAATGTAATAAATATGATATAGTTTTTTTTCAAATTTGACCATTTTACTCACGGTTTAAGACAACTCCTGGCAATACCTAAATGTTTTTGGCGAACATTATTGATACAATATTTGCAAACAATCGAAAAAATTGGCCTTTTTATGATTTAAAAATTTAAGATGGAAATGATAAAATAGAAAGTTAGACAATTGTTTTAAGAAATTTTTCCAAAGTGCATTTGTTGGATTGCTTAAGTTGTATTGTTAAACCCCATTACCCCCCCCCCCCCTCCTTCCTAATAATGCGCATGCGTACATTCTATTATAACTCACCTTGACTATGAGTATCGGATCCTGATCTATCCCTGGTTTGTATATGGATAGTTTCACGAGTACCAATCTCATCCATCAATCCTTCTCCTCTACCCAGAGATTGAGTTCTAATCCTACCATTAACACTTTGGATCGGGATAATTCGCTCCGGGGTTCGGTTCCGGGACTCCGGGGTTAGATTCCGTACAGACAGGACGGTTCTCTCCGGAGTCCTTCTCTCCTGTAACCCTGATCTATCTAGAGACTGTGTTCGTCCTGCTCCGATCTTGGAATATATATTCTCCGTGTTGTGAACGGATTGAAAGGTTTGGGGTTGGACGAATTTCGTTGATTGATAGATCCAATTCGTCCAGGGGTTAGTCTCTCCGTCTCTACTAGACGGAGCAGGAGATACAGATTGAAGGCGTGGTGGCAGGGGGCTGGAGGGAGGCGTGTCTGAGTCCATGGGCCCGCCCATCATCCTTCTGAGTAAGGAGGGACTCTCCAAACCACGCCCCCGCCCTCCGTCCAACCCATCTCTTGAAGAACATCGTGAAGGAGCACGTGAGGACGGTCTGGAAGGATTTTGCCTGAAAAAAATATTTAAAATTAAGTTTTTAGAAAAAGTATGTTTCTTGTCGTGACCTAACTTCGTAAAGAAATCACGAAAGCCAACAATGATTTTCGTTTTTCTCTTTTAAGGATTTTTGTAAAAATATTTTTTTTTATTTCAGTTTTGTTCTATTTATTATATATATTACTACATATTAACTTGATCTGCAAACTCAACTAATGCAAATCGTATTGTTATTAAAGATTTCAGATCCAAGATATTAAGACACGAACACCTTTTAAATACTAATAGTTGTTTGCTTACTCAGTGGGCCAATGCAAATTTGCGTATGATGCGTTTAACACATATATGTGCATATATTTGCGTATTTGCTATTGCTACTTACGCATAAAATGAGTATTTTATGTATTTTGAGTAGATATAGCTGGCAGATCAGTTTACAGGATTTAAATTAATATAATTTAAGACTAGAATTAGATTGACATATGATACAGTCTTTATAGGATGTTCTAATAAAAACACCCCATAAGGTTCACATAAATAATTTTTCACCAATTTTGATTTTTACAAATCAAATATAAAAAATACATCAAATCGTTTTATTATATACTTAATAAACTCATAAATTTTAACATTTATAGGACACCTTTTGTTGATAATGATAAATATGTAATACTTCAACACCTAGAGATATTACCAAAACAGATTGATCAAGTTTTTGTTTTCATCAATAATATTTGTCCTCATCATTATAATTTGTGTGCACATACATGGATTGTGTCCTCATTATAATAATTATTGTCCTCACAAATAATATTTGTCCTCATACATAAATATTGTTCTTATAAACAAAGGTATCTTCATTAATAATGTTTGTCCTCATAAATAATGTTTGTCCTCGGAAATAATGTTTGTCCTCATATATAATGTTTGTCCTCATTAATAATGTTCGTCCTTATAAACAAAGGTTGTCCTCATTAATAATGTTCGTCCTTATACATTATTTGTGTCCTTTAAATGATTTTGTCCTTATTAAAATGTTTGTCCTCAAACATAATTTTTGTCCTAATGAATAATTTTGTCCTCATGAATAATTTTGTCCTCATAAATAATTTTTGTCCTCATGAATAATTTTGTCCTCATAAATAATTTTGTCCTCATGAATAATTTTGTCCTCATAAATAATTTTGTCCTCATAAATAATTTTGTCCTCATGAATAATTTTGTCCTCATAAATCAACAATCATTTTAATTTTAACTCCTGACCAATATTTGTGTAAAGAAACTGAACCCTGCCCTATATCTTTGCAATGTATCTAACTTAGACTATTTTTACCTAACCGAATTTATATTCTAAATCATCAAAGGCAGGACATCTGTTTAAAAAGATATTGGGATTATAATATTAGAGATTGAAGCAGGTCTTTAGATCCTTGAACAAGTGCTTGATAGAAATTATGAATTGAAGAAAGAGGGAGGGGGGATAAGTTCTGAAGAAGCGTTGTAAATATGTATATGTAGAAGAGATGGAACTTCAGAGAATAATAATGAGAAGTTGCTTGGAAGAGTATTGGAGATTGTAGATATACAAAATCAAGAGGAGAGAGGGGAAGGGGGATAGCAACTTTTTTGAGGATGTACTGCAAAAGGGCTGGAAGACATGGCTCAGCAATTCTTCCTCCGAGCCACATTCTCCACATTTTCTCATCCGAACTACTTACAAAAGCTAATCCTTTTAAATTTCGTATAAAAAATATTGAGTTTATGGTTATATATAAGATTAACTGCAGCAAAATATTTTTCATACTTTCGAAATTCTTTATTCCCCTGGAACCACCCTCAATATATTATTTTAGATATAGTTAACAAAAAGATTAAAGTTTTATCTAAAGATGCGCGTACAAAAGAGAAAATTATTAGGAGGATCATTTTATTTTATTGAAAATGATTATTTTAATATGTGAAAATCTAAAACTTCTAGGTGTACAACGTGGCCAGAAGAAGGGTGTCATTTCAAAAACAAAAAGATAAAAAAATATTAAATGCTACAATAATTCATAGGTGGCTCATGGACGAATGAGAAGAATGTGGGTCGGAGAAAGATATATTTTGGCTTAGCTTCCAGCCCTGACAGCGTAAATACAATTAGAACAATACAACTCTGGAATATGAAGACGACTTTTAGACTCTAACTCTTAATAGTAACTAGGAACATGAGACACGGCAATTGTGCAGTGAAATAGACCAATTTAAATAAATAGGTGATTTAATAAGTAACTATAAGCATTACTATTTGCTTTGTAGAACAACACCAATTTTTTTGTTTTTGATTTAATATCGTCATTTGTCCTATTCCATAGTTTTCTGGTTCTTCCTGTAGATGAGACGGTGAAGAAATACTGTTCAGGTAGTATGAGTATTTTTACACTGTGAATACTCAATAACAAAGTGAATTACTTGATATTTATGCAAATAAAAAACATCAAAAATCGTGATACGACCTTTCGTTGAATTTTAAACCATAAAAAATCCCCCAGTCTGCTATTCTTTTTTATTTAAAAAATGAATTAAAAGTTGTAGAAATTTACTTGTTTTAAAGATATTGTTGTCAAGATTTGTCATTTTAACTCCGAAGTTAATGAAATTTAAAATTTTTTACAAATGAAGCCTCGCTGAACTTTTGAACTTTCAAAATGTCTGAAATCAAATATTTTACTCCTCACTCGTTTCTTCATTTTCATTTTGAAAATGTGCATCAAGCAAATTTACACAAAAAAACAGAAGTTTGCTGCAGTTTTGCCTCTTATTTCAAATTCAAATTCAAAGTCACAGAAACAACCTCTCATTTCCCTATTCCACTTTCCTTTCCCCCAGCCCCCTCTTTCCAGAGTTTTTAACTTTAATTATCTATTCATCTTACTATTTAACCATCTATTAAACTATCAATTCATCGATCTATCTATGTATCTATTTATAAATCTAAATGTGAATTATTATACCGTACTTGATAATCTATTTGATTATACCTATCTATCGAATAATGTTATTGTAGTAATTTTATTATTAGACTTCACAGCACCAAGCTGTTGCATACTGCATAATTAAATATAAAAGAAAACATTGATTTGATAAAATTGTAAAACTAACTGATATTTAATGCAATTTTTTAGACTTAAGTTATATTTATTTCAATTTTCTCTGATATATCTATCAGCAAAAATTTCTCTTTTTATCAAAAATAAGATAATCTTTAAATCCAAGTTTTTGCAGGAAAATTTCATATATTTGGCAATAAAATCCCTTCGCAAATATCTCAATCAATCAATCAATCATTTCAAGTTTTTGCTTCATAAAATCAAAACATATTCTTCATATATTTCTTGTTATCCTTTTATCCATCTTTGTATTCATCACTTTACTTTTCTTTAAAGGGACTGTAAAGGAATCTCAGGCGTGCTCTTGTTATTATTTGAATTTAATAATTTTTCAATTTTAATAGATATAATTAATAATGTTATTTATACGTCGGACCATGTCACCAGCACTCCAACCAATAGCAACGCAGTACTATTGTTACGTGCCTCCCGTCTGCATCACGTGACCAGTATACTGCACTGTCTTTGGAGGGAGTATTGGTCACGTGATACGGACGTACATCTTACATACATACGTTTTGGTATAATTTTGACACAGTTTAATGACAATTTCTCGAGACAGAAACATCATATAGATGTCTTATAGGTATTGTTCAACTCCTGAGATTATCAGGTTTTAGTCTATACCCCCTTTCATTTTTCCTTTCCAGTCCCTTAAACCTAGTCCGTCTATCTATCTTTGTGTTTATTCATTTATCTATCTATATATCTATATCTTCTAGTCATGCATTCAAGCTGATTGCTTCAAAGCTGTTTAAAGTTCAACCAGGGTTTTTATGCATCAATCCTTTAGAAAGGGTCAACTGTGAATAGGATGNACTTTTCCATTCAAAATGCACACACAGACAAAAAAGTAAGAAAAAGGAAATAACGAAATTTTTTGTTTAATTGTCGAAATAGGGATCGAAAGGAAAAGCTTGCTGCGATAAGAACCAAATCAGTGAGAAGATCAAATAAGAGAGGTGTTATTTAAGATTTTAATCAAACGTAGAATTTATTTCAGTTCAACTGTGATATATTCCTAGATTATATTTACTGTTTATAGACTTGTTTGTGAATAAAAGGGTTGAGTGTGGTCACCCTACTTTCATTTCTTTATTTATGAAAAGATAGATTTATGATAATGTTTTCTTGATGAAAAAAAAAACACAAATGATGGAAATATTGGCCCATGATGGTCAGATTCTTTCGGAAACCATAAATAGGATCATTTAAATTTCCATGGATTTGAATTATTCTAAGAGTAAATAAATTCCTTGGTAAAGAGCTGGTTTTTATTTTGACCAGAAAAATTAGTTTTAATGAGAAAAATTGTTGCATACTAAAAAACAAGCTTTTTGAAAAGGAATGGTTTTTGAAGATGCCTTATTAAAAGGTGTATCCACCTTACATTTTTAACACCCCCCTATCCCGTTCAAATTTAATAGTGCATACATATTACACACATGCATGGAGCAAGGAGAGATAAGTCGTGTGGTTTTATTATCTACTCTATCCATTGATTTATTCACTAATGTAATCTGCTTTGCACAATTACAAATTATAATTCATATCTTAGTCAAGGAAATTTTAGTGTATATATTAAAATTTGGGTAAAAGAACTGATTTTTGTTGTCACAAACTCAAATTGTCTAATCCCTATATCTTTACCACCTGATGATGTAAACCTTTGATATTTAGATTATTTGGTATAACAGAATTCATAGTTAGAAATATCAAAAGTCTACGACATTGGGTAGCAGAGTTATAAAGATTTGAAAAGTAGAGTTTGTGACAAAAACTCAGTTCCTTTCTTAATTTAAAGAAAATAAATTCTTTTATGAATAAACTTGTTAGTTCTACAACTAAATCATCAAAGTC